GGAACAAAGGGTAGATTGATCAGAGCTATACATCTTGGAACATCTGGAACACAGACTATTCAGTACCAGGACCTGATACAGTGTAGATAAGTAAACCTGTTTTGATACCTTCAGGAATGGATGGTGAGACATCCCTCAACTGCATTCCACATGGACTCCTATAATGGAGTCAATATGGCATTGCCATGTGGTTCAACTCAAGCTAGTCCAGAATTCTGTATTTGCATTACTAAATGAACTTTTAATAAATTTAATTTTAATTTAATTATTAAATTTTAATAAATTGAATAAATAAATCATCATTCAGAGGGTGTTACTCCCTTGCTATGGCTGTTTCTAAGCAAAACGCAAAGCATTGTTCATGAGCTAAAAAATCCTGTATGACATGGATCCAGCCTATAAGAAATATCATTTTCTCCCAGACATGCTTGCCAGGATCTTGAGATCTCTTTATCTGAGATGAGGTGGATACTATTATCAGGCTGGATGAGATTAGGTAGGTGTGTCACCTGGTGATGTTAGCACCATATGGGTTTTGTTTATATTGATGATGTTACTGATTAAAACTAGCAATAATATGTTAGCATGCACCGTAACTGCTGAAGTCTTTTTGGAATTCATTTGTCTTTTCTGTGCTCCATTAAATGTCTGCAATGGGATCTCAGGTCCCCTTCCTTTCATGAAGCCACCTTTTATATCTGTCACGTCTTGTTCCATATTTTATTAGTCAGGATACAAAATCTTAAGCCTTATCTTATTGGCATAATTTCGGTGCTTTTTGATATTGTAATATAAACAAACTTTTCCAATCCTTTGCACTGTTTTTCAAGCCTCCTAACCAACCACATGTAACACTTTGATTGCATCACCTCTTCAGAGTTCTTCCAGAAGCTTTGTTGTTAGCAGTATTTTCTAGAGCTCATTTACACTTGTATTCCCAGAATGTCTGGCTCTATTTTGGTGATCAGTGTGTGTACATATTGATTTGGGGAACTTCTTTGTACAGTCCTGTAAATCCCTAGGGTTCTCTTTCCAATATAATGCCCATCAGTGGAATTGTAATGCTCTGTTTGTTGTTATTACTTACTGTTACGATCCTGATGGTGCTTCACTTTCATTTTCCAGCAGTAGTTCTCCTCTAAGTTACCAGTCAAGCTGAATTCAGGAGGCTTAAAACTGCATCTACAGGCTTTCTAAACACTTACTTCTAACTCAGTATCAGAAGATACAGGTCTAACCTGTGACAAAATGATTGCTGATGAACGGACCTGTCACAGGTTAGAACAGGTCTAACTTGTGACAAAATGAATACTGATGAACAGACCCTGATTATTCCCCCTAATCAGGGTCCGTTCATCAGTATTCACTATGTGACTTTGTTTCTTGATGAAGGCTTCACAAAATTAGAAAGCAGGAGGCAAGTAAATTTCTCTCCTGAAGTAGCACCAGGCCCTGCACACTTTAATAGGCAATGAGGGTTTGAGTCTATGAGAAGTGGTTCCAGTCAGACCAGAAGGCAACAGTCATTCATATCAGCTTGTAATGGAGAAAGTGGAAATGAATGAACTTGCTTCTTATGGCAAGCAGGAACAATATCAAAGACATGGACTGATAGTAAAGTAGCATCAGCTCCCAACATGTTATGTACATGTGTTCATGCACATATTAACACATATATACTAAAATTTCGCATTCTGGAACTTTAAATATATTTAACCATTTCCAAAAATGTTATGGCTATAAAAATGCAGATCTGTTGAGATCTTACCTAGATGAGATTTGTTTGGAAAATAATAGCATAGCTTCCCCAAATACCAAGAAACATACTTGGAAAATTAAAACAAAAGATCATTTTGTTAAAAAAGTCATCTTTATTCAATGTTCAAGATATAAATAAGATTAACATGCATCCTTTCACAACTCCCTATGCTAAATAAAAACTTTATATAGCAAACCAATGTTATGAAGGATTGCATTCTAACCATTTGCTTACTGTTCACATCTAATAAAATGATGCGCAGTGACACAAAGCGACCTTTAAAAATCATTAAAGCAGACCAGCCAACATCAGGAAATCTATCAACAACTCAGAGTTGTCTGAAAGACCTAAAAAAAAAAAAAAAAAACGAGGGAACCCACTTATAATAGGAAAGTCAAGGAGCTCATGCCCCCATAACCATTTTTTTTAACACATCATGATATCGCCTTCCTCTCTTCCCCTGCTCACAGCTGAGGTAGTTAAAAATTGTCTGTAGCTGTTGCAGTTATAAAGTAGCATTTTTCCCTCTTCTTCCAATACAACTTTTGCTGGGGGTGCAATCAAGTTAATCATCACGTTAAAAACAGTAAGGATTGTGGCAGTCACCAGTCTTGTTACTGTAGCAGGATAAGGCTCAGCGATCAGGGCAGCAAATTTTATCCCAGCAGTTTTTAATTGTTATTTTGCTGGCTGAGGGACTGGATAGCACTTGAATGTATCCCTCTTGCTGTGCCCAGGGACTTGCTTCAGTCAAGCTCGTGGCCTGGGAACTGCATCCACGGTTTTCTCAGCAGTAGTACAGTGGTGGTTTGCCATTTTTTTTCCAGGATGTTTTTTCAACTTCCTTTACCCAATGCAGCTAAGGGCCCTGACATTCCTAGGTGGACTAGAGAGATGACTAGGATTGACCCTGTACAGTTTCAAACATCAGCCAAGTTGGGCTAGATGCTGAGGCCAAGTAACCTAAAGCTCAGGGAAATCCAGTGTTACAAGTGGCCCCTTCTCATGTGAAGAATATTATCAGTGAAGGGTCTCAACACTTCTTTGGGGACAGGTGGGGAAAACTGGGTGGATTTGTAAAGCTGATGGCCACCTCCCCACCCCCACCCCCCCACTTATTTATCTCTACGTATCTTACCATATCGTTAGTTTTTTCCCCCCAGGGGATCTAAGCATTGCTAAACAGAGAAAGCTACAGGGCTCTGTGACCCACCCCAGGGTTCTGAAGTCCTCCTCAGAGAAAAAACAATCAGAGCTTGCTTTAAACACTTGATGTATTGTGCTCAGAGTTTCATAAAGTTCATAAACCCTAGAAGCCTTGTTGCTTTAGGCTATTAATATGACAAAGTCTTAATAGTTAAGTCCTAAATAATCAGTTGGTTCACATCTAGAATAGTCCAAAATCAAATTTATATGTATCTGCTTCATAATTTGAAGTAGCTCTATGTCAAAGAGGTTATGAAGTCCAGTTGGGCAGCACTCAGTTGACAAAAATTCCAAAATGGCAGTTCTATATCAGAATTTTATGCAATACAGTTTCTCCTTTAAATTAAAAAAAAAATGTCTACAGTAACATTAAGTAAACATCTGAACTCTGGAAGGAAAAAATGCACCTCTATTATTTTATTAAAATAATTATGTAAATATACCATCACTATGAAGTTACATCCAAGAAGCAGCTGCATAAATTCTGGTGAAATTAGCAAAATTTATTTATTTATTTATTGGATTTCTCCCCCGCCCATCTCCCCCACAATAGGGAGCTGTTGAGACTTAATTATTATGCCCAGAACTATCATATTGACCTAGTAAAGAATCAAGGTAGAGTTGCTGGGAGTTGGGCAGCATATAAATTTAATAAATTAGTAGTAGTAGTAGTAGTAGTAGTAGTAGTAGTAGTAATAGTATGACTCTTAGATGCAGAGGGTTGGAAGATCCAACTTAATAATCAGTGGGACATCAGCTTTGTGTAATGTCCTCAGTGATTTTAGTGGGACTGAAATCCAACTCTTTGCATTTTATGTAATAAATGTTCCAGATACATTAAACCCTGGGCTATAATTGGAACAATGTTTCATTTGGGCATCTAATGATGTTTTAAGAAGACATTATAGCAAAACTTTGTGGAAGAGACTAGTAAATAGTCTATTTTATTATTTATTATTTTATTTTGCTAGTAAATATTACTAAAGAGACCTTTTGCTGAAGAAAAGGGGAAATAAGGTAAACAAGCAGTACCATTTTTGGCTGTAGACAGGCCTCTATAAAGGGCATGAAAAATGCCATTAATAAAAAGTAAATATTAAATACATTAATATAACACAGTATTTTATAATTATGCATTAGACTGAACAAATATATTATTATAACTCTATTATAATTATGCATTTAAGAAATACATCCTAAGTAAGGCCAAGAGAGTTCAGGAGCCCACATGTCCTTTTTGTCCCTATCAAGGAAACCAAAATTCCTGACTTAAATTCCAGAAACAGGCAAGCCATTCCAAGTGCTCAACTGTGCAAAAAAGATCCATGTACAGTGGAACAAGCAGAAAGAGGGGTTATTAAAACTTCTTTGCAACATGTGCCATCAAAAACTTTTGAGAACTGCTGCTGGAATGAAATCTGTTACATGCACACTTGATTTCAGTGTGCAGTTTTTTAACATTTAGAAACCCTAAATGTTTGTAATTCTTCATCAGCCTTCTTTGAGGAAAAAAAAAACTGAAAGCCAGCTTGAACAGCACACAGAGATTGCCCCACAATGCAGTGTAGTCATCATCCCAAGTATTTCAACAGCTAGCTGGCATCTTTGGCCTGGTAGCTCCATCTTTCTTCTTCTGTCATCCTATCATCTTCAGCATGAACTTCTTCTCCAGGTGTGGAGGCTCTCCACATGAAGCGCTGTCAAAATCACAGAAGGATCTTTCCAGATAGAAAACCCTCAGAAATTCCACCCAAGGGTAGGATAAGGATAAGGATAGAAGGAGGGCACAACACCAATGCCTCTTTCTGCTTTTGTATGGTCGTTCACTAAAAGAATGCCAAATAAGACTAATTTGAGCAGACACAATCACTTTCAATGGAATGTCTGGTTGCTTCAGTAATCTATGCAAGACCTTTCCACAGCATTAGCAATAGATGAAACTTTTTTTTATAACCCCTCTTGAGCTTCTTCTCCAGTTCTGCTATAACAGAAGAGCATTTATGCCAGTCTCTTCTGAACTGTTCATTAATTTAACTTAATTAACTTCATTAATTAAATCATTAGAGTCATTAATCCGGAAGACACCAAAGAAATTACCATATTCTTTAAGGGCCCAGTGATAGTCTTCTTCAGTACTTCCCTCTAATGTCCCGTAGAGCACATCATTACTTGACAACTGATAAATCTGAGATGTGTAGTTTGTATATGGTTTCTTTACTCTGTCAGACAAATGCAAATGGAGGGTCAGAAGAGCAGGATTAGCTTCATTTTTACGATGAATAGAGAGAACAGTATCTGCTTCCTTGGTGGGATGATGGCCACGAAGTTCGACATTGATCTGAGCATAGATACAGTACAGCCCAGCATTTTTAATCTTTAGCTTCTGAGAGTTATATTCAAATGATGACTCAAGGAATGCTCCTTGAACTTCTCTGTCAAACCAATCTAACATCCCTCGATGAATGCTTGCTGCAAAGAGAGGAAAGAATCAGGTAGAAGCATTAACTGGTGTCTAATACTGCCATTTGAGTTCCCAGCATATGAATATCAGAGCCACACCAAAAATAAGTCCTGCATCACAATCAAAGAAGTACCCTCAAAAGCATATATTTTCTGTTTTTAAGCTTGGTACCCAGAGAGTGGGTTCATATACTGCATTAAGCTATAATGTAGTTTGATTGTGGCTTAGTGTGTTGTATACACAGGCCATATCAATTTTGGTTTATTCAAAAAAAAAAAATCACACTCTTCAAAGCCAGAGAGAAATCCTGGTGTATCTGATCCAGGCATGCCCTAGAGAAAGATCCCACAAAGTAATGAGAATTTTAATATTTGTCTGTATAAACAAATTACTTACATTCTGACTTAGGAAACAGAGTTCTTTACTAGGGAAAACAAGTAGTCCTCAACTTATGATGGCAATTGGGACTGGAATTTCCATCACTAAGCAAATGCGATCATAAAGCACAACCGCATTGCTTAGTGATGGCAATCCCTGCAGTCCTGGTTGCCAACGTTAACCAAATCTCATGGACATTAAGCAAGGCAACTTCCTGCTGGTTTCCCATGGAAGCTGGAAGGAAGTTGCAAGTCCCAGCTGGTTGTAAGCAGGCCAGCAGGCAAGTAAGTGGCTGCTCCAGGTGGGGGAAGGTACAAGGGGGTGCAATAGGGGTGCAAGGGAGGAGTGGCAAGGGGGCACAAGGGGGGTGCAGCGAGGGTCAGGGAGGGTGTGCAGGGTGCGAGGGAGGCATGGCGAGGGTCAGGAAGGGTGTGTGAGAGTGCATGGGAGCTGTGGCAAGGGTCAGGGAGGATGCATGGGGTGCGAGGGAGGCACAGGGTGGGTCGGGGGGTGCGAGGAAGGCACTGCGAGGGTCGGGGAGAGTGCGTGAGGGTGTGACAGAGGCATGGGGAGGTCCAGAGAGGGTGCACAGGGGTGAGGGGTGGCGAGGCTGAGGGAGGGTGCATGGGAGGCATGGTGAGGGTCAGGGAGGGTGCATGGGGGTGTGTGAGTGGCCGGCGTGGCACGAGCACAGAAGAGCTGGGGGAGGGTTAGGGGAGGGTGCACAGAGACTGGGGAGACTTACCCCAGTGACTTGCAACCTTCCCTGCTGGCTTCCCATTGACTTTCTGGGGAACCCAACAGGCAAGGTGACAAATGGTGATCATGTGATCACAGGGCACTTAAACCAGTCATGTGAGCCAGTTGCCAAGTGCCCAGACTGTAATCACATGACTGCAGGGGTGCTGGGATGCCCAGAACTCTGAGGAGCAGTTGTAACCACCATTCATTCAGCACTGTCGTAACTTTGAGTGGTTGCTGAATGAATGGTTGTAAGTCAAGGACTACCTGTACTATTGTATTATATAGTTGCCTAGAGTCACATAAAAGTGAGATGGGATGTTATATAAATTGAATGAATAAATAAATTGTAATAACAGCAGACATATCAGACAAAGCCATGGTTTGTGATAACCACATTTCACACAATTCTAAGGTATCAGTTATGATTTATATAAAATAGACTTCTCCCTTCAAGTATCTTCTATGTTATCTCACCCATTTGACAGGCTTTTTTGCATCATCATCATCATCTAAAAATATTTTCCAGTGCTCACCACCTTTCATTTATATTTTCTTGCCAGTCCATACAACAGGTCAGGTGTTAACCTCATATTACAAACAGAAGAAGAAGTTGATGACGCACTCACTTAAAATATTTAGCGATAGATAAAATGGGAACCTGCCAGAAAAGCATGGTTGTAGCTAATACGTTCTGAAACCGAGAAGCCCTAAGTGGTCACCTTGGAAATTTTGAGTCTGACGGAGCTCAAGCCACAGAAAGCTGCCCAGAAGGAAGGAAGAGCATACCCTGCTCTTCACAATTTAGCATCCAGATCTATGGCCCTAGTGAATGGCCTGGAAGTATCCGATGCTACTTCAGTGCTCAGAGTAAGAAGACATGAGCATAGGCAGTTCTTGGGATGGGACACAACTGAAAACCTTATATAAGAAACAACAACAACAACAACAACAAAATATTGCAAAGTCCCTGCTTATACAGGCAACCCAAGTCTCCTAGAGATAATTACTTTTTGACTCTTCCATGAAACAAAAAGGTTTATTTTAAGCTTTGAGGATACCTGGAAATATTGCCCAGAAATATCCTTGCCCTAAACACACAGTCCTGACCAGGAACAACCACAAGAGTGGCTCAAATTTTGTCTGCTTTGCACAAGATGCTCCAGAAAAAAAGCACTTGCCTTTTGCAAGCCAGCAGCTGCCCACTTCGTATCCAGAGACACCTCTGGTTACTTCAGACATTTGAAATGCTACGTCTACAGAAAACTAAATTAGATATTATTGGGTGGAGATGGGAAACAGTCTGTCTTTTAAAAAAAAGACACTATAAGGCCGTTCTCTTTACTCTTTGCCCTCATTATCACCCCCATCTCATTCTACATTTGAAACATTTGAAATTTCTCTGGAGAGAAAAGATGAGTAAAAGGGTAAAATGATTAATCACCACCCCCCAACTTTCTTTGCAGAGTGCTTTTCATTAATGAAGATTGTAAAAGTCTGGGAAGCTATAGCACAGGAAACAGAGCACCCGTGCTGACTACAAACACATATGTTTGTGCATCACAACCTAGTGGTCTTTAAAAGGTAAAAACACCACTGAATTCCTGAAAGTGGTTTACTCCTGCCCTCTTCTAAGATGCTTTTTCAGTTATCAGCCTTGGATTGCCAAGATGGCTTCTCGCTCAAGCACCTATCCAAATTGGACATAATTGACTTCTGGGATCAGCCAAGATGGTTGGATGCTGCCACCAAGTGGGATAAGTGATCTCTGCATGGGGTAGCCCGTGAAACAAGGTCTGAGGCTTATTCCCACCCAGCTCCCACAATATTACAGTTGGTATCAGTACCCAAGGCCAGAATTCTTTGGAGTAGCCTTCCCATCACCAGGCAATCTCTCATAGATACCTTATTTATTATTTTATTCATCTATTTGATTTCCCTACTGATGACTCAAAGCAGATGGGACTACAACCCTCATTATCCACCAGACACAGGGCTCACGCATCTGAAGAATACCAGCTTGGGGGGAAAATGAAACTTTGGGGCTTTCAGAGCAAGAAACTAGGTATCAAGGAAGCCAACTTACTGTTTCCATTCAGCTTAAGGACCAGGTGAGCAGCAGCGACCTGAAAAAGAGGAGGAAAGGTGATGTTAGCCCTTTCAAAACAAAGCTGACCGAGAAGCTTCTTCGCTCACGTCGGGGAAGGGCAGGGGTTGTCTGATGCGGGGCAAGGGCTACCCTCGTCCTCCAAGCCAAGGGCTGCATCTCTGTCTCTGCCCCGACTACCGCTCCCAGTTCTCTGCACCCTCAAAGTACCACTGATGACTGGAGCGGCGGAGTCTGCTTCGTCAGATTCAGGACCAGCGCGGTGAGCGAGGCGATCAAGAAGCAGCTGCTCACCAAGAACAGCGCGCAAACGGAGGCCGAGCGCCAGGACCGTCTACCGTCGAGGCGCTCCATCAGACTGCTGCTCAGTTGCAGAAGCCCGGGCTCTCGGTCTCCGTACTACTTCAGGCTCCGCCCCGCGGGCTTCTTGGGTGATTTCCTCCGATGAGTTGTGGTTGGAAGACAGACCCAACGCGCCAGTATTCTGCTCCGAAGTTAAAGTGGCAATTTTTCGGCAGATGGCTCTCCTCTGGCTACTAAGAGCCATCCTAACTTCATTTTTCCACCCACCTTCCCTAACTCCACCTCCAACATGAGACTCGCTTTATAAATCATTTTCCTCTTTGCTTGGAACTCGGCAACGCACTTCTGAGAGGGAAAAGAATCCCACTTCTCGGCGCGTTCCTTTGATCGGGGGTCACGTGGGTGAGAGGAACGCCCTCTGGGAATTCCAAAATGGAACGCGGCGTTCTAGCGCCGATTCCTCAGAACCCCGTGGAGGAACCTTTCCCGATCGGGGGCTCCCCAGCTGGGTCAGACCGCCGTTTCCATCATCTCCAGTTGGCACCCCCAGTGGGGATTATGGCTGTGGCAGTCCAGTATACCTAGGGAGCAACTGGTTGAGGAAGTCTCTGTTGGTGGAAACCAACAAAATATATTCTGGTCCCTGAGGGTTAAAAAAACAACGGTAATAGCTCTTCCTTGCTCTACTGCCTTTTAGATGCGTTTTGCATCCAGATTCGAGACACGTGGCTGATTCCAATTTAGCTGAGCTCAACATTTCTGTGCAGTCTGTATCTTTCTTATCTGAATGCTTTTGTATAAACAAAACACTTTTTAGCTCATCCAGTTTTTCATGGGTCTCATCTAGTAGCTCAAAAATAGAAATCATAATTTGTGCAATTAAAAGGCATTATTTAGCTATAAACTCAGTTGTTAGCCTGTAGTCAATGGCAGTTTCTCCAGGGTGGATCAGTGGCTCTTTTATCTGCTCCATAGCTGTAGCCGCTTCATCCAGTCCACCTGGAAACAGCAAAGTTCAGAAATTGGGGTTTGCACTAGCAGCACCGCTGACCCTGAGACAGGCTACGGCAGCTGTTTGACAAACGGTACAGAACTGCAAACTGAACAGAGCAAAATCTGTGACAGTAGAAACTGTTTCAAACTAGCCTGGTGTCTTAACCAGCTCACAGGTAATAAATCCGTCAGTCATTTATGCTGCATTTTGACATTCTCCCATTGGCTTCTTTGGAGGGCAAGTTTCAGAAAAAATCCTACCCAAAAAGGACTTCTGTCAGTCTGGGAATGCTGAATCACAGGCCCTTGGGTTACTTGATTGTGGATTCTATAGAGATATGAGCGGCAAACTTCTACCATTCCTTGTTAGACCATTTCCTGGATGTTCAGATGAATTTTTTATAAAAGTCCTTCTGGCAGATGAAGACATCCGTCAGTCATTTATGCTGCATTTTGACATTCTCCCATTGGCTTCTTTGGAGGGCAAGTTTCAGAAAAAATCCTACCCAAAAAGGACTTCTGTCAGTCTGGGAATGCTGAATCACAGGCCCTTGGGTTACTTGATTGTGGATTCTATAGAGATATGAGCGGCAAACTTCTACCATTCCTTGTTAGACCATTTCCTGGATGTTCAGATGAATTTTTTATAAAAGTCCTTCTGGCAGATGAAGACCCGTCCCAGCACAAGCTGTTGCTAAGTTTGCATTTGCAGCCTGCAGATCCTGGGCTTTACTAATGGCAAATAAATTTTGGACCGACTGCTGGTTATACTCCATAGAGTAGTACATGGAGTAATTAGAGTGCTGTATTCTTCTTACTTTATTGTATTTTACTTTTTTCCTTTGTATTCATTATTTTACTGTATTTTACTTGCTTGCTTTTATTTTGATATATTTGATGAGGCTGTGACCTGTAACAGTCGTTCATACATTCTTAAATTTCCACAAATAGCTGGCCTCCAGAATCTTGTGAATATGTCATACATACATACATATATACACACAATCCTATCATAGCCTCTGTTTACACTATTCAGCTGTTTTCAATAAATAGTCGTTTTGAACAGAAATAGCAATCATGTGAGTTCTACATTTTGGCCGAAAGCATTTGAACAGCTCAGTTGTGCTTACTAATACATTCCAAATCAAAGCTGTTTCTTCCAAACAAAGTAGTCAAAATGTGTTTTCTATTTGTTTAATAATCATCTTAATATGTGAATCTATGGCAGAAAAAACAATGCAGAATTTATGACCACGTATGATTCGCAAATCTGATAACCCACAAGGTTTTCATCATAAATTTGTTAGTCTTTAAGGTATTTTATTTTTATTTATTTATTTAAATACCACACAATTTGGGGGGTCCTCCTAGACTGGCAGTTCCTGCTCAACGAGCAGGTGGCAGCCATGGCTTGGGGTCTTTGCACAGATTTGTCTTGTGCCCCAATTGCGCCCTTTCCTGGCCTGGGAGGCGTTGCTCACAATCACTCATGCCTTGGTCGCTTCCCATTTGGATTACTGCAACACAGTCTACACGGGGCTGCCCTTGAAGACCACCTGGAAGTTACAACTGGTCCAGAATGTAGCTCCGTGTGCAGTGTTGGGTGCCCATCGGTTTGCCTACATTACACCTCTGTTGCACAAGCTGCACTGACTCCCAATTTACTTCCTTCCTTCCAGCAATTCAAGGTGCTGGTTGTTACCTTTAAAGTTGATTTACTTATTTTATTTAATTATGGCACAGGACCAGGTTCTTCGTGTGACCAACTGTCCCTGAGAGTATATGCCTATCCCAATAGATCAGATAGGGTGGGCACACTCCAAGTCCCTTCCCTGAAATATTGCCATCTAGTGGGAAGGGTGCCTTTTCTGTGACTGCCCCTACTTTATGGAATACCCTCCCCTGGCAATCCAGCAGACCCCCCCCCCCCCCCCTTTTTCCCCTTTCTAAAACATTTTATACTGCGCCTTTTTTTCTGAATGCGGGGGGGGGGGGGGGGGGGGGGG